CTGCAACAACAACTGTCCGGCAATGAAGGTAATGCTGAAAAAATGAGGTTGTTTACTTCAAAGGAGTTGGAAAAGGCAACTGATTACTATAACGAGAATCGAATCATCGGTCAAGGAGGCCAAGGAACTGTTATAAAGGAATGTTAACTGATGGAAGCATTGTGGCAATCAAGAATTCTAAAATGATGGAAGAGAAGAAAGTTGATGAAAGAAGCTTGAACAGTTCATCAATGAGGTGATAATTTTATCACAGATCAACCATAGAAATGTGGTTAAGCTTTTAGGATGTTGCCTGGAGACAAAAGTCCCTTTGCTAGTGTATGAGTTCATTCCCAATGGAACACTGTCTCAACTTATACATGATCAAAATGAAGAACTCCTAATGACATGGGAAATGCGTTTACGAATTGCTACAGAAATTGCCAATGCATTATCCTATTGCATTCGGCTGCTTCTGTCCCTATTATCATTGAGACATCAAATCCAGCAACATACTTTTGGATGATAAACAGAGCCAAAGTATCGGATTTCAGAACTTCAAGATCAATTGCACTTGAACAAACTCATCTTACCACTCGGGTTCAAGGAACTTTCGGATACTTAGATCCTGAGTATTTTCGATCAAGTCAATTCACAGAGAAGAGTGATGTTTATAGTTTTGGGGTTGTTCTTGTTGAAATTTTGACGGGACAAAAACCCATCACCTCGAGACAATCAGAGGAAGTGAGAAGCTTGGTAGCATTTTTTCTACTCTTAATGAAGAAGAATTCATTATTTGACATTTTTGATCCAATCATAATGAATGATGGTCCAGAAGAAGAGATTGTAACGGTTTCAAAGCTAGCAAAAAGATGCTTGAATCTTAATGGAAAGAAAAGGCCTACAATGAAACAAGTTGCAAGGAAGCTGGAGTTGATTGAAGAAGCTAATGAGATTGAACCAAGTGGCGATGAAGAATCTGATACAGATGACATAATCGATCCTTGGGCTATTGCTACTTGTTCAACCGTGTGAATTATAAACAATTTGTAGTTTAACATTGTAATTACGTTCTTCCTTTGGTGTGTACTCGATGTGATATATCTTCATGATTAGTTCATATTTTTATCCTTCTTCTGAATTCAATTATTTTTGTCCCATTTCTTATTCATGTTGTTTTCTTATTGAAGACTTCTTTTTATGTTTTTGATTTTGTTTAGATGCATTTTGCAAGAAAAAAATTTAATGAAAGTAAATATGACAAAACAATCCATTTTTCATAGATTTTGATTGCCCACTATCTAATATGTTCATGTTTTGAAATTTTCTAGATAAATTCAAGGTTTTTTTTCTTAATTGAAGTCAGATCAAAGATGAATTTAAAATGTTCTGTCTTGTACTGAGTAAATATATATATATATATATATAAATATATATAAATTTATATTTTAAAATATTTATATAAATGATTTTAGATTCTTCTGGATCCTATGGATATGTTTTTTGTTTGGGATTTAATCGAGATTTTTCCCTTAAAATCAAACTTGGGTGAGAGGTAGGTTTATAATGTTCTATCTTACTTTTAATATATATTAAATTATATTTTTAATTAATTAATTATTTTATATTTATATTTATATCTATGTATTATATTAATCAAATTATTATTTAATATCTTAATTTAATAACAATATTTTTTGTTTAGGTACCTTATTAGAAATTCTTTTATTTAGATACTACGTTAAAAAAAGTGTAATAATTTAAGGGCAAATGAAGTATTATTTCTATTACACACATTTATAGAGAAAATTAGTCAATGAAAATTTTCTTCCTTTTTCTAATTCATGTTTTTTTTTTCTACACAAAAGATGTGAACATGAGACTCTTAAATGTATAATTTCTAAGAGAAATTTGGTCAATGACAATTTTCTTCCCTTTTCTAATTCGTGTTTTTTTTTTTCCACACATAAGATGTGAATGTGAGACTCTTAAATGTATAATTTCTAAGAGAAATTTGGTCAATGACAATTTTCTTCCCTTTTCTAATTCGTGTTTTTTTTTTTTCTACACATAAGATATGAACATAAGACTATTAAATGTATGTTATAAAATATTATTTAAATATGAGTTCACGGATCACCACCAATCAAACAATTAAATGTGAAACCATACATCTCTCACTCACAAACCCAATTCTCACATTAGACATAAAAACATAAATAAAGACCACAAGATATATGTAAAAACCATCCAGCAACAACAACAATAATAGAATCAATCCAAACCAATCAATTAAAAAAATACAAATCAATAAATACTGCTGCAAGGAATAAAAAAAATCAAAATTTAATTCAATTAATTTATGTAATTATCTCAGGAGTTGACATTCAACAAATTTAAAATTCGAATCTTAGTACTTATAAAATTTTTTGACTCTCGAGTTGCTATCTATACAAAAAAAATCATGAAAAAAAATAAGAAGGACAAAATATACGTGAAAATCATCCAATATAACAAAAAAGGGATAAAACCAAAAACAAATCCACTGTCAACAGTCCATGATACAATGTTCATGTTTTTAAATTTTCTCTAACTTGATGATTATGTAAAAGAGAAACTTGGTTTATGACAATTTTTCCATGAGTTGAAATTGAGACTTTTCTTTGTCATTGTCTTTCTTGTTTTTGACACGTAAACCATGAACTTGAGACTTTTCTTTTAGCATTCGGTTCATTTTGGGTTTAATTTGAATTTTTGTATCACATAAAATTTACAAAAAATCACTAAATCAAAAGGGAAAAAAACAAGTTAATTAAAAGTCATTTATTAATTTAGAATTATTTTTATAAGAAATTAAAAATTTTCTCTCAAAAATATTATTTATAATTTTTGATTGATTGATATTTACTTTTTATTTTCATTTCATTGATTATTAGTAATTCACCATAATTATGGTTAAGATTTGCAGGGTCAACCATAACTTTAAAAGTTGGAAGTGGTGTTAATTAGTTTCTTGTATGTTATAATTAGAATTTCATTGAGAAGTAAAAAAAAAAAATGCTATGGAAAATTTTGAATCTAAATAATATTGAATTAAGGCTTTTTTTTCATTAAAAGTTAAAATTTATTTATGAAATTTAAATAATTTGTAATGGTAACTTTTTTAATTGAAATGAAGAAAGAATCATTAATCTTGTTCTTCTTCGGCTGCATTTTAAGTTATTATCTTTGATATCTACTTAATATCTACTTAAAAAAAATAAAGTAAACTATTTATAAATAGTTGTCACAATTAATTTTATTAAATTATTGAATATTTCTAATTCAAGAATTTATTTTTTATTTTTAAATTTATAAGCCTAATTGGTTACTAGCTAGTCAGCTTAACAGTTAAGAGATTAATATGTTCACTCCAAAAAAGAAAAAAATATGATAAATATGATATTAATTTCCTTTTATAGGTTTGGTTGCAAATCATTTGTAATTGGCTGCTCTGAAATTGGTAAATGGATTTCCACTTGTTCACAAAGTTTGATGAGACTGATTGCAATACTAGCAGTGTAATTCATGCTTCGGTGACATTACTTTTTAAAGTTTGGTGGGGTAGCTGAATTATATTTTAGGGAGAATTAGAAAAAGCTCCGGTCTATTACAAATTTTTATTAATTGGTGCTATAGGAATAAATTATTACATTAAAGGAAATGACAAGTTTTAAATTTATAAAAAAAAAAGTTATTTTTACTCTTTTTGATCTTAATGACTGAGGTTGTGTAGAAAAAAAAAGAAAAAAAAAGTCCATAATTTTAAATATTCTATGATAATTTTATTTGATATTTTAGCCAATTTATTTTACTGAATTAATATTACTTGATTCATTACATCAATTTTTTTTTTGAATTACAAAGAAAAAAATGAAAAATAAAATTATAATTTTTTTAAACCCCTAAAAACCCTATTCCCATGCATCAACGCTAAATCAACCAAAAAAAGTGCTAAGACGTCAATGAAAAGAAATTTTAAATTTTTTTAGTACGAAGGAATTTGTAGTTTGAAAATAAGAGAAAAAATTATAGATATTAAAATTTGAATATAAATTTAGTATATGTTATCTCTTAAAAATAATTGTATAAATCAATTGAATTAAATTTTAAATTCAAATATTATAAAATTTTAATATCTATATTCGTATTACAATTCCTTGGAATTACTATTTATTTCTTAAATATTAAAAGGGTAAATTTAGAAATAATCAAATATATAAGGATAAAATTATCCAATAAATGGTATTCTCAATTCCTGATTAGGTAGAAATTGCAATTCTTAGGAAAGACTAAAGAATTGTTATTACTTGTTTCTAAGAAATTGACATTCCATGGAATTACTATTCTTTGCTAAAAAAATAACCAAACAATATAATTAAAAAAGCATAAGGAAAATAGTTGGAACGAAATCTCAATTCCATCCAACCAAACATGGGTTAAGAATGTTTGGGGAAAAAAGCATCTCAATTAATCTCCGTATGGATGTTCACATGTTTTTGTCAAAGCTAGAATACGATAGGGATATGGATATTAAAATTCTATTATTTTTTAATTTGATTATGGATATTAAAATTTTATTATTTTTTAATTAGATTTATCAATTTAAAATATGATATGATAACATGATATAAATAAAAATAAAAGTAACATGATTTAAAATTTTAATAAAAATCATATATAAGTTTGATAAAACTAAACAATATGTTTTTTATTTATCATGTCAACATAAATTATGATAGAATAATTTTTTATAGTTTATACTTATTAGATATGAAATAAACAAACAAAAATACGTGAATTGTAAAATATACTTCCAATTCAAGTCTCCGCATCTTTTTTCATCTCATGCATGGGAGTAGAATTTCTTCTAATGGTTTAAAAAATTATTATTTGGCAATTCACTATGCCAGAGGGAAAATGTAACAAGGTATGGCGACTGAAGTTTTTGGCTATAATCTGGTCTCTTTGGCCATGTAGAAATGAATTGGTCTTCAATGGAAGGTGTTTGATTTTTCACATATTGTCGATATCATCAAATTGAGAGTGGTGTGGTGGTTCAAGGCCAAGTGGCCAACAGTCGAAAGTTAAGTTTAGTCAATGAGCTAATTAGATCCCCAAAAGAAATGATTGTTCGTAGGAAAATGCAAGTTAAACAAAAACAAAGTTATATGGTTGAAATCTAGGTTTGGATCTCTGAAATTTAATGTGGATGGATCGATGGTGATGCAGGTATAGGTGGAGTACTTAGGGATGAATTTGGGGCTGTCAAAGGGAAATATTCTAAATTCGTGGGAATAGCAGATGCAAATAAGGCTGAGTTGATGGCAATAAAGGAGGCGTTTATTCTTTACATAACTTCCCCTTGGGAAAATACGCATACATTGGTGATTGAAAGTGATTTCTTACATGTGGTCACTTGGATCAAACCCCCCCAAACTACTTCTTGGAGGTTCAGGAAACGCATAATACATTTGGAAACCTTGCAGAAACAACTAAGAAGTTGGTAAATCCATCATATACCAAGGGAGGCAAATGATGCTGCTAATAACATTGTCAAATGAGGAGTGAATAGATCCAAAACCTTATAGAATGATATAATTAGATGTTGGTTTGATCTTTTCAGTTGTAATTTTCTTTTGACAAGATATGTAACTAGTTGTTTCTTATTCTCGTTATTATTTTGTATCTCAGTTTCTCATCAATGAAAATCTCTACTCTTTAAAATATATATATTATTTTTGTTAAAAAATATTATTAGTTTATTATTATTTTTTTCTTTTATAATAAAATTTGATATCATAAGTCAAAGACATTAATTTAACGAGATGAATTGAATAAAATATCAAATAAAATTATTATAAAATATTTAAAATCAAGGATGCGTTTATCCATTTATTTCTTTAAAAAAATATTCATTTAAAAATTAGCATTATCTGCCTGGTTGAGTGATGTAGATTATCTCCATTTGCAGGTTTGATAGGAAAATGAAGAACACCTATGATCATCTACTCTTCAGCAGGTCTACCTACCTCATCTATCAGCCCTCTCTTTTCCCCTTCTTTGCTATTTATACAAATTTCAAGTTTGTTAGCTGCCTGCCACTTAGTAGTGTTATGAATTTTTACTAAGTGTCTTTTTGAATTTAGGATATTCATGTAGAAATGGAACTAGAATAAATTTTGAGGAAAAGAGTTATTTGCTAGTAAGAATGTGGAAACCATAGTGTAGGGATATTATTACCAGTCTAGGGTCTCTGCCTATTGATAGCCAAGCAAATCTGTTGCATTGTTTTATTTTTCAACATAATCAAAGCTATTGAATATTGTTAAGAAAATGGGGTCCAGCCTCATGTAAGTGGTTTTGGACCAAGTAAAGGTCATGGGTCTTGATCTTTCATTTTACACAGAGCCCTAGCTACTTAATAAAAAAGAGGTGGGTTTGTTTTAAGTGGGTGTCAAAAACCAAGTAGAGAAAGAAGAAAAGCTAGAAAAAGTAGAAAGAAAAAAGAGAAGGGAGAGTTGGTTGAATGAAAGTCGATCCATGGTTCGATTGAGTTGGAACCTTGTCAGGAGGTTTATGATTCAGAGTTCTACATTCTGAACAGTGAAGATCGGGTTTGAAGCTCTCTAAGAACAAATCTAAGGTGTATTTGTTGAGTCACTTATTTGGTGAGATTTCTCCAATTGTTTTTCTAGTTGTTGATTAGTTCTAATTTTAGCTAGAGAAGAACTTTGTATACCTATTATTTGATAGTGAAGATTTTTCTGGTGGTCCATGATTTTTTCCCTCTACACTAAAGGGTTTTCCACGTAAATCTTGGTGTGCTTTATTTTTTCTGTTTTTTGATTATTGATTGTTGTCTATTGCTTCTGTATTATTGTGATTATTGCTTCAGGCGCAACAAGTGGTATCAGAGTGAGGGTTATTTTGAGACATTGATACAGAAGCAACCCAGGATATAAGTAAATTCTATTTAAGACATGGAGAGTGATACAAGTTCCATGATAAAATTGACAGCATCGAATTATTCAATTTGGAAGCTTATGATGGAGGATCATCTATAATGCAAAGATTTGTATGAGCCAGTATTGGGTGATTTGGCTAAACTAGCAGATATGAAAGATGAAAGCTAAAAGAAGCTAGGCAGAAAGACGCTGGCTGTAATAAAAAAATGGGTTAATATCAGCATGTTCCATCATGTAGCGCAGGAGTTAGATGCTCACATTGTTTGGGAAAAATTGACAGCATTGTATGAGAGAAAAACAATTATGAATAAAGTTATGCTTGTTAAAAAGCTTGCAACTTTACAGTACAGGGATGGACAATCTGTTACAGAGCACTTGAGTGATTTTCAAGATATATGTAATTGGATGACTACTATGGAGCTTAAGATGGATGATGAAATGAAGGCATTATTTCTTTTGGGTTCATTGCTAGATAGCTGGAATACTCTAGTTGTGATTGTTCTTAATTCAGCTCCTGATTATAAGGTGATATTGGAGATGGTAAAGGACAGTATGCTTAATGAAGAAGCAAGGCAAAAAGATGTAAACCATGGGAATCAAGCTCTAGTCACAGAGAACAAGGGTAAAAACATCGACAGAGGTCAGGACTCAAAAGGCCGTGGTAAGTCTAAACATAGATCCAAGTCTAGAGGTAAAGTGAAGTGTTTCTATTGTGGTAAGACAGGTCATATAAACTGAAACTATAAAATCTTGAAGCAAGAGCAAAAATATGAGAAAGACAAGAGTTCAGATGATGGCAATATTACAATAATGAATTTAGATAGTGATTCAGTTACTTTGATTTGTACACATGGTGATTGTAATTATGTTAGTGATCCCGACATTGAGTGGATAGTTGACACAGGAGCGGTATATCATTGTGTCCCTAAGAGAGAGTTGTTTACAACTTACAAAGCAGGAGACTTTGGCTGTACCAAGATGGGAAATAAGAGTGTGTTGCAGATTGTTGGGATTGGTGATATTATTTACAAACTAGTACAGGTTGCATGTTGACTTTAAGGGATGTCAGACACATTCCAGATATGAGAATGAACTTACTTGCTATTAATGTCCTTGATAAGGAGGGGTATGAAAGCCGACAAGAGAATGGATAGTGAAAGCTCCTTAAAGGATCTATGGTAGTTGCAAGGGGAAAAATATGTTGCACAATGTATAAGACATGGATGCAATTGAACGGTAACTAGGTAAATGCCATAGAAAATGATGCTTCAACAAACTTGTGGCACAGGAGGCTGGCACACATGAGTGAAAATGAGTTACAGATTTTGGCAAGGCAGTCTCTTATTCCCTTGACCAAAGGTATGTCTCTCGATTCATGTGATTATTGTTTATTTGGTAAGCATCATAGAGTTTTTTTTCGTAAAAGTTCTCGGAGAAAAGAAAATAGATTGGAATTAATTTATTTTGACGTATGTGGTCCCATTGAGGTTAAGTCATTAGGTGGTAGTAGATATTTTGTTACTTTTATTGATGATGCTTCACATAAGACTTGGGTGTATATGTTGAAATACAAAAGTCAAGTACTACAGTATTTTCAAAACTTTCATGCCATGATTGAAAGGATGACAGGGTTACCTTTGAGGTGTATTCGAACTAATAATGGTGGGGAATACACATCTAAAAGCTTTGAAGAGTATTGTTCAAAGCATGGGATTAGGCATGAGATGACAGAACCTGGAACACCACAGCATAATGATATAGCTTAAAGAATGAATCGTACCATTATAAAAAAAGTCAGATGTATGTTGAGGATGACAAAATTACCAAAGCCATTCTAGGGTGAAGTAGTTAACATGACTTGTTATTTACTTAACAGATCACCATCAGTTCCTTTGGGCTTTGATATTTCAGAAAGAGTGTGGATAGGAAAAGATACTTCATACTCTCACTTGAAAGTTTTTGGGTGTAAAGCATTCATGCATGTGTCGAAAGAGCAGAGATCAAAGCTTGATAATAGAGACACATAGTGTGTGTTTGTAAGATATGGTGATGAGGAATTTGATTACAGGGTATGGGATCCAGTAAAGAAAAAGACAGTCAGAAGTAGAGATGTGGTCTTTCATGAAAAAAAAAATCATAACAGACCTTGAAAAAAATAAGAAGACTACAAAGGTTACTGTTGAGTGTAATGTTTCAACACCGACAAGGATTCCACAGGAAAGAACCACAGATGGTGGAAATGAGCAAAAAACAAAACTTGGGAATATGAATGAGCCAGCCACAGTTGGTGATGAGCCAGATGCAATTAGTTTTGAGCAGGAAAAGCAATCCTCTCTACTTGAGAGTGTTGAGCAGGGGGAGCTACCTTTGGCATCAAGTGATGTAGAGTCTCAGCCCATGAGATCTACTAGAGAGCACAAGCCATTTATCAGGTATCCAAGTTCAGATTTTATTTTAGTTACCAGTGAAGGAGAGCCAGAAAGCTTTCAAAATGTGCAGGCTACTTCGGATAGAGAGCACTGGTTAAAAGCAATGAAAGAAGAGATGGAGTTATTGCGAAAGAATGGTACTTATGATCTTGTTAAACTTTCAACAGGGAAGAGGCCATTAAAGAATAAATGGGTGTTCAAGTTGAAAATTGATGGTGACAAACTAGTGAGGTACAAAGCTTGATTGGTAGTAAAAGGTTTTTCTCAGAAATCAGGCATCGATTTTGATGAGATTTTTGCTCCAGTTGTAAAGATGAGTTCTATTCGAGTGGTACTGGGATTAGTAGCTAGTTTGAATCTTGAGCTTGAGCAACTTAATGTTAAAACTGCATTTTTGCATGGTGATTTACAAGAGGACATTTATATGAATCAGCCTGATGGTTTTGAAGTGAAATGGAAAGAGCACTTAGTTTGCAAATTGAAGAAAAGCTTGTATGGCTTGAAACAAGCTCCGCGATAGTGGTACAAGAAGTTTGATTCTTTTATGGTGAGTCACAGCTATAAAATAACAGCAGCGGATTCTTGTGTGTATGTTAAACAATTCTCTAATAGTAACTTCATTATCCTATTATTATATGTTGATGATATGTTGATTGTAGGACAAGATGCTAGTATGATTTGTAGGTTGAAAGAACAATTGTCTAAGTCCTTTGATATGAAGGATTTAGGTCCAGCAAAGCAGATTCTTGGTATGGACATTATCCGAGATAGGAGAGCTGGAAAGCTGTGGTTGTCACAGGGAAAGTATGTTGAACGAGTGCTTGGTAGATTCAACATGCAACATGCTAAATTAATTAGCAGTCCACTTGCCAACCATTTTTATCTAAGTAAGAAATCTTGTCCAGTATCTAAGGAAGAGCAACTAGCTATGTCTAGTATTCCTTATTCTTCTACAGTAAGTTTTTTAATGTATCTTATGATTTGTACAAGGCCTGACATTACTCATGCAGTTGGTGTAGTGAGTAGATTTCTTTTTAATTCGAGAAAGGTTCATTGGTAAGCAGTGAAATGAATTTTTAGATATTTGAGGGGTACCTCAAAAATGTGCTTGACTTATGGAGTTTCACAACCAGTTCTAGAAGGGTTTACTGATGCTGACATGGCAAGCGATCTTGATGGTAGGAAATCTACTTTAGGGTATTTGTTCACTTTTGCAGGAGGAGCTGTATCTTGGCAATCTAAGTTACAAAAGTGTGCTGCTTTGTCAACTATAGAGACTGAGTATATTGCAGCAACCAAAGCATGTAAAGAAATGCTTTGGATGAAATATTTTCTTCTTAAATTGGGGTTGAATAAGAAAGAGTATGTGGTATTTTGTGATAGCCAGAGTGCTTTAGATTTGAGTAAGAATACCATGTACCATGCTAGAACAAAGCACATTGACGTTAGATATCATTGGTTACGTTCAGTGATTAAAGAACAGCAGATGCTATTGAAGAAAGTCCATATTGATAAGAATGTAGTAGATATGTTGACTAAGATACTTCCTAGGAAAAAGCTTGAGCTTTACAGTAACTTGGCCAGAATGAGTTCCCTGGCCAAGGTAAGTTTCAAATGAAACTGCTATGGTGATGAATCTCCTCCTAATGGGGCTGGAGGAGGAGATTGTTAGGAAAATGGGGTCCAACCTCATGTAAGTGGTTTTGGACCAAGTAAAGGCTATGGGCCTTGATCTTTCATTTTACATAGAGCCCTAGCTACTTAATAAAAAAGAGGTGGGGTTGTTTTAAGTGGGTGTCGAAAATCAAGTAGAGAAAGAAGAAAAGCCAGAAAAAGCAAAGAGAAAAAAGAGAAGGGAGAGTTGGTTGAACGGAAGTCGATTCGTGGTCCGATTGAGTTGGAACCTTGTTAGGAGGTTTATGATTCAGAGTTCTACATTCTGAACGATGAAGATCGAGTTTGAAGCTCTCTAGGAACAAATCCAAGGTGTATTTGTTGAGTCACTTATTTGGTGAGATTTCTTCAATTGTTTCTCTAGTTGTTGATTAGCTCTAGTTTTAGCTAGAGAAGAACTTTGTATATCTATTATTTGATAGTGAAGATTTTTCTGGTGGTCCATGATTTTTTCCCTCTACACTGGAGGGTTTTTCACGTAAATCTTGGTGTGCTTTATTTTTTCTGCATTTTTTATTATTGATTGTTGTCTATTGCTTCTGTATTGTTGTGATTATTGCTTCAAGCGCAACAAATATATCATAGTTGACCATTTGGTGCATTATTAAATATTTGTAGCAATGTTGTTCCAGATTCAAATAACTTGAAATAATCCCATGAGGGATTGTAGGGTTGCGGAGAGTGGTTTTCCTTCATTCTCTAGCCAAGTCATTGCGAAATCTTTTGTATTGAACTATATTGCAATAGCGTCTTTCTCTCTTTTCATTTTGCTTTACTAGGGTGAATCTCATGAACATAGTTCCCTCTCGTATCAACTACTTTCTTTTACATTCTCCTCACTTTTGTTCTTGTTTGCTTGCAGAAGTCCCCTTCTAAGTTTATATGCTGACATCTCTGTAACATGTAAGGTAAAAATTCTCAAAATTTTCTTTTTTATTGCCATTGAATTCATGTTCTTTAGGCCACCATATTGCCTACATTTTCCTACATTTTAGATATCAGTGACATTAATTGCAATCTTCCAAGAAATTTTCGATGTATATCATGATAAGTTCCAAATCTTGAAACATGGGATATGGTGAAAAGGCAGATGCTATGGATTTAAATTGACTTAGCCTTGGCAGGGGAACATATTAATTATTGCGAACTTTCAAATCCAAAAAATATTTGGAAATAAAAATGCAATTTTGACTCAACCTTCCATGAGAATCGAGAAAATGGAAAATTTAAGAAAGTGATAATTATAAAAGAATAAAATGATAGGTGCAGAGACATTACCATTTTCCCCCTTTTTAACAATTGTTTTTATATAAAAAGAGGCTAACTGCATTAGCTTCTTGTCTCCTCATTCGTGCATGTGACTACTAATTAATGGTTTATGGTTTTATGCAGGAATATTGCAATCCAAACCAATCCATGTTGGAGTTAGTTTTTGCCCCTGCAGAAGAATAGATTGCACGAAGTGACTAAGAAATTATTGATGCTACAATGAAGGAACTTGAAAAGCTCTTTCCTGATGAAATTTCTGTAGATCAGAGCAAAGCAAAAGTCGTAAAGTACCATATTGTTAAAACAGCAAGTTTAGACTAAGTACATTCATTTAGAATCTCTGTTAATACTTTTTTCTTTTTTTTAAATCTAGTTCTAGTCATTGCTTGATGTATTATGTCGTGGCTGAAAAATACATGCCGGGAATGGCTTCCCCTTATATTCAATACTGATGCATCAAAGAGTATAATTGTGCTAGAAACATGTAACATAAATATTTATTTCAAATTTTTCATGGAAGCTTTTAATGCTATCCTGGACAAACTTTCAGACAATCTCTAGACAGGATTTCAGTACCATTACATGCATATGTTTGCACATAGATGCATGAATGCATGTATCTATATGTGGAACTGTACACCTATTTTAAATGGATTGCAGGCCTTAAATCAATTTACATTCGTACCTAGGTCACTGGATTCCTTCTTAAAGTAAAAGCTGATTATCATTTCAGATCTGTATATAAAACTGTTCCAAATTGTGAACCCTGCCGCCCCTTGCAACGATCTTCCATAGAGGGGTTCTATCTATCAGGTGATTACACAAAGCAAAGGTATTTAGCTTCGATGGAAGGTGCTGTTCTCTCAGGGAAGCTTTGTGCACAGTCTATTGTACAGGTATTTTTTGCATTCTTTTGCTCTTGTCATGTTGCTCTGACTGCACTGGCATAGTTTCACCTTTTTCCCGCATGATGTTCAAATTACTAGTTGTTTTAGATGCCAAGCCTGTTGCTTTACACCATGACTGGAGAGTCTTGTAAAGGTGGCAATGAGTCCATACTTACAAATTACAAAAAGAGGGTGAAAATGGAAATTATCTGTTGTGCTTGTATCAGAACTTCTAATGTATTGAAATATGCAGGATTATGAGTTGCTTTGCACTTTGGGATAAAGAAAGTTGACAGCAGCAAGCATTCACTGATGGCCTTTAAGTTGAAGTAAAAAATTCACAAGTTACGGAGAATCATCCTCAAATCGATTGTTCAAGGCCAGTAGGTTAGTGATGTCTTTCGATAGTACAAATATATCATATACCCCTTATAAAATCTGTAAAATGTGCAAAGACAGCTTCACAAACTGCATGTAAATTCTTTTGATAGAATCTATATGATCTTCAGTTAGCCTGTTAAAGCAAAAAACAAAAGGGAATGGCAAAAGGGTGTAAAAAGGCACCTGAACTCAAATTCAAAAATCATCTAAGCTCAAAAAACATCAAAACTGATACTTTTTCGAATCACTAAAAGGTAACAATAACACATCGGCCAACAATTATGTGGTATATAGATGTAGTGTTAGATTCTTAGTTTTATTAATCAAAGTTCAAATCCTGACAATCTCAAATAAAATATATGTATTTTTCATTGGGATTCGATCCAAATCACGATATCATTTTCTTGTTCTTGAATGGGGTTTATCAATTTTTTATTTAATTTTTTTTAGGTTTATACTTTACTCCGAGAAAAGATCTACCCGATTTTGATTTGCGCATGTAAGACAAATGACCCAATACCGCATCGTTTTGCTATGATTTCATTTCTTTTTTTATTTTAATTTAATTCTTTTTTCTTTCATGTTTTTTGCCAAATATCCAAAGTATTTTCCATATTATTCAATTGATTAATAGTTTGAAATCGTTATTATTTATATTTATAATTAAAAACAATTATGATTATGATATAGGTGGTAATCATAAATATATTACCAGCTCAAAAATATTTAGGTTGTGTTTGGTATCATTTTCAAGATTATTATATCAATTTAATCACTACATTGATCTTATTACCAAGATATTATCACTCTTGATTTGGAATCATTTTATTTGTTTTTAGGAATTAAAAACTAATATATTTGGTATTATTAAAAATCAAATATTATTTTGTTTAAAAATAGGAAAATAACTATACATTTGGTAATAATTATACAACTTAATGATTTTAATATTATTTAAAGATAATAATTTGTAAAATATTAATAATATTTTATTTATTTCATGATGAAAATAATTAAGCTATTAAATTAATAAATATATTTATTGATAGGTTTTATAATATAAAATATATATTAAAAGCATTTAAATTAAAAATAAAACTAATCTATTAAAATTATAAAAAATATATATTACATATAAAAATATTTAAAAAGCAAAAAAAAAGAATAAAAATTATTTTTGAACTTGTTATAATGAATGTTAGTTTGAAAATATAAGGATTTATAATATAAAACAATTACACTTTTAAAAGGAAAAAATTTTTTAATTCACATATTAAATAGATAATATCAATTATTATTAATTTTATTTATCACTTTATTCCAATGATAAAAATTTCTTATTCTTTTAAAGATCACTCTCTACAATAGTGATTTGATCATTCTTGATAATCCAAAATCACTGTCACGTAGGATTATCAACGCTTATCAAACATAATGATCTAATTATTATGTGTAAATCATCATAATTTCTAGCATGATAATCTGATACCAAATACCACCTTAAAGCATCTTCTCACTTATCTCTTTATTTCTTATATAACTGTTACTTAATTTTGGAGAATTATTACTCATATAGCAAGGCTTTGTTTTGTAGCAATTAGTTATGGCCCTTGGTTGCCCAAGTAAATTTTTTTCACCTTGCTGCTGGCATCAGGAGGAGAAGGATAGTGTAACGGTTGAGGACTGCTTCCTGTATGAACACGCATGATGTAGTTGATTTTGTTCGATTAGATTTCTCTAAATCTATTCATTGACCTTCTTACCTACAATAAATACCCCAAAAAAATCTAACAAACTCAAAAGAGAAATAATTAAGAAGAATATTTCATATATATTTGTGTCATAACATATAGATTCGAAAATCTATAGCTAGACTTAACAAGAGGAGTCGTTACCAATTTTTTTAACTAGGTGTGATTGGCCACCTAATGAATCTATCCTTTTAAGGAGTTCCTAATCCCTAAAAGAATAGGTCTGGTCTACTAATTAAAACAAAGTTCAGAAGTTCGGTTATATATGGAGAAGGTTATAGTACCCCCACATGCCCATCCGAAGGATGGTACCATTTTATTTTAAATTATCTTAAGGTCTTGATGTTAATGGTCTTAAATTTAATGTTGAATATTGAAAAAACTTTTAAGATTCTCCATCAAATATTGAAAATAACTTTTAAGATTCTCCATCAATCTGATAAATTTCTTAAAAATTATAGCATCACCTTAAGAGTATTCAAGAATCCCATTTATTTTCTTGAAGAGGCTTCGTTGTCGGAAAAAGGTTTAATCATTTTTATTTTGGTTTCTTTTTATTAAAAATATATCTAATTATTCCACCATTAGGGCCTAATTAGAAATATCTTCTCTTTTAAAGTTTTAAATTTTCACCATTTGGGCCTATTTTAAAAATTCTTCATTTTGATTTCTAAATTTTTCACCATTTGGGTCTATTTTAGAAAATTTTTTCTTTTATCTTTGGAAAGAAAATAATATGATAATTATTTTTTCAAAGTTTCATTTAATTCTTCCACCATTTGAAACAAATTTAAAGAAATTTCTCACCTAGAGATTTCTTTAGAAATTTACCATTTGAAATTTCTAAGAATCTCATCATTGGATAATTGTCAAATATTTTCAAACCAAAAATTTTTATTATTTTTAAAATTGAAAATAAATATTAATTATTATTATTGAAACTTTCTCTAAATTATTCCATTATTTGGGACCAAATTTTAAAAAAATTTCCCACCTAGGAATTTTATAGAAATTTACCATTTGAAATTTCTAAAATTTTCATCATTGGATAATTAGTATTTACTTTTCAAAATTTTTATTTTATTAAATTTAATTATGCAAAATACTAAATAAATAAATAAGTAAAATAATAAAATAATAAAAAAAGACAAGAAAATGGCTCAGCTCAGTGGCTAGAAGGCTTAACTCAGCTTGACTGCAAAAAGAAACAGTGGTTGAGACGGCTTGGCTTCATGGCTCTGCTTAGCTCGAGCCAAGGACAGGTCCGTGGGTCGAAGGCGGGTTGAGCGCTTGGATCGGGTCAACTTGAACAAAAACATGCGGATCTTGGTGTCGTTTAACTCAAAAACAACATCATTTTGGGAATGGTATAAAAGATCAAATTGTCTTTTTCCTTCAGATTTTTTCCCCTTTCTCTCTCCTCCTTTTTTTCTCTCTCTCTCTCTAGAATTGATGGACTTCAATTGAATCATTTATCGGATTCTGAAAATCTCGTCGAAATCTACATTAGTTCACCTAAAAATTCAATCTTTGTTGGAATCTTCAATCGGATTCTGAAAAACGATCGAAAAATTTAAACATTTGCAGGAAAATTCATCGAAATATGGAAAAATTTGCTAGAATTTGGGAATTTTCCAGAAAAATTTCCAGAAAAAATCTCCTTTTTAACCCAAAAAAATTTTCAAACTTTCTAACTACTTTTGTGGCATGTTTTTCCTCTCTACTTTTTTGTGTATCTCTCTGATCTATCTCTCTCTAATTTGTTGTATGTTAAGACTTGATTAGAGTCTATATTAGTAGGGGTTTGATCCAAAAAACCCTATATCAATAAAGTTTCTATTCCCTTTTCAATTCCAACTTCAATTCTGATTTTAACCCAAATTTAACAACCCCAAAGAAATAATCCTAAACAGATACAACCTCTTTAAAGTTTTCCTGATTTTCCATTTTTTATTATTTATTTTTTTAATTAACAAAAACAAGTAGAACCCCAAAAAAATTAAGGTGTCTACAATATATATATATATATATATATATATATATATATTGACAAAGCATTAGACGATTTCAGGGCTTTACCTAGTACATCTTTTCCCTCAACCAGTCAAAACAAGTTTTTCTATGTCGAGTCTAATAAATTTATGAGATATTACTTTCCCATTATCTCTCAACTAATTTGAACTTAAGCAACAAAAAAAAAAGCACATTTTTTTTATTATTTAAGCCAACCTTCCGTTGATTTTTCGTATATAGCTGTTAGTAACAAACAAGTGTGTTTTTTTTTTTTTTTAAGTTGGAGGTAATATAGTAGTAAGGTACATGAACCTTGTAAGTTATATTAAAAAATTAATTAATAAAAAGTAAAAAATATGTTAACCTCTTAATATATTTATAGAATAAAAATTAATATATCAAATATGAACTCTAAAACTAATTACTTGTATAAAAATATTAAATTTGAATAATTTTTCCAACTTCATTCTTTGTTCTATGTATAATATATATATAAGACGAAGGGTACAGACTTAATCAGAAAGGCACACATGAAGAACAATGGAACATATATAGTAAGCCCTTTGTAGCCATTAATTATGACCGTGTCTGGGTTGCCCAACAATCATCTATATCAGGAGGACAGTAGGAGCTACTTCTTGCATGATGAACTCCGGATGGTGGTTTTGCTCCTATTAGATTTCTCTGAATCTCTTCATTTACCTTCTTTCCTACAAAATAGTGATAGTCAAGACCAAATTCATGAAATAATTCGGATCAATCAGGAAAAAAAATGTATCCGGTAAAATTCATAAACCCTGTGTTACTTAACAAAAATAATTATTGCGTTTTCTTCTACTTATAATTTGTTTAGAATGAATCAATACAGGTTTTTCCTTTTTTGCTGGGAAGGTAGTAATTCTTTTCAACTCAGAAGATAACTATGGTTCATGTGTTATCTTTAACGACTGATAATTAGTAAGTTTGAAGCTTAAATCTCTATCCCACACTGCAGTTCATTGTGTAAAAAAAAATGTCAAGTTTAGTTTATCAATTAGTTTTATTTTTACCAAATATGTTAAGTTTAGTAATACTTCTTTTTCATAAATAAAATCAGTGATAGACTACTAAAAATCTTAAAGAGAAGTAGTATATATGT